GTACTTCTACGTTCTCTGTCGTTACTCCAAGTAGCAAACAAACAAATTCTACTGAAGTGTATCAGTATTTTAACCTGCCTGAGTGACTCCACTACTTCAATAATAACTGCCAAGAAAAGTTGGTTTGTTGGCTCAGTTTTTTAATTACAAAGAAACGAAATTGAAGACCGGCTAAACAGAAGATGAGGCTTCTACAACAGCCTCCTCATGCTGGATTCCTTGCATTTGTTTTATAATTGACTTTGGATAATTCTATTATCATACTGTGTAGCTCCACAATCTGGGCAGTGATCATGATCATCTGGGAATCTGAACGTGGGTAAGATGAAGCTCCCCCAAAGTGTGCTATCTTTATGTAATGTAAGAAAGATCTGTTACTATATGTATTCAAGGAAGTTCATATCGATATGCTGTGTCTCTGAGGTTTGTGTTCATAGAGGATATAGTGATATGCTGTTAACACAGAGTGGCCCCTCATGGTCCCCACCTCCTGGTATACACACCCTTGTGTAGCTCCTTTAACCTACCAGGGTTGTTCTGTGTGTCCAACAGAGTACAGCAGAAGGGAAGTGATGTCACTACCAAGATTAGGTTATAAAAGAATGCAGCTTCCATCCTGGTCTCCCTCTAGTTCTGTCTTTTGGATCACCAACTGCCATGTCATAAAAGACACACCAACAGCATATGGAAAGCACCAAATAGTAGGAACTGAGGTCTCCAGCCTACAGCTAGTAAGGAACCGAGGCCTGACAATAGCCATGTGAGTGAGTCTGGAAGTGGATAACCCATCAACCAAGCCTTTGGATGACGGCAGCCTTGTCTGACAACTTGACAGCAACCTCAAGAAAGATCCTGAACCAGAACCACCAACAAAGCAATTCCCAGACCCCTGACCCACAGAAACCATGAGGTAATATGTTTGCTATTCTAAGCTGTTAAATTTTGGGATAACTTTGTTATGCTGCAATAGACAACTAGTATCTAGAGAACATCAACAGTATGTCCGAATGTCTCCAGGCGAGCCACAGGGCTAGGGAAAAAGGCTCCGGCCATGATTTCCTTCCTCTAGGAGAGTGGCTCTTGATCTTTTCAGCATCATGGAAACTTGTAAGGATATGGTAAACAATAGGGATGCTTTTTTTAAAAAAACATGCATACAGGCTCATGAACACAGTATTTTGCAGATAATATCAGGGGCTACATGCAATCCCTGACGTCCTTCTATGAGTATACTGTGGATACCAGA